CTATGGAAACTCAATCAATTTTCTTTTGTTAGCTGCTATAGTTGTTAAGTGGTGGTCATATGTTTGCAGCTCAAATCGCAGAACATCTATTATAAATCGTATTTCCTCTTGAAGCAATTCCATTCACAAATTTCTGTCGTTAGGTGTGCACAACAGTAAAATGGACAAAATAATACTGTTCTATATCTATTGTACAGTTTATATACATATATTGTATTTTCTTATTAAAATACAACAGAATAAAATTGGACCTTTTTTACGGAAATGGTACCTTTTTTAAGCAATTTTGGTACGGAAAAAATTTTCAAGTGGCAACCGTGGCGGTTAGGTATGCGCTAAACTTTGCAGTTCACATCACCGTACATTTCAATTACATTTCACCTCTTCCCTTTCAGCAGTATTACCTACGAATTTCTTTCGCTAGATGTGCGCAATAGTATGCCGCACATTTATACGTTGCAAGTGAGTTCGACTTTGTTTGATCACTGCATAAACATGAATGGTTTTGAGAACAGACTCTTGTTTGAAGAAAGTTGGTTTGATGGTTTGATGTAAAAACATGTAAAAAGTTGTGTTTATATAATATTAAACTTATTATATATATTTATATATATATAAATTACTAATTTAATATATTTAATATGTTATTTTGTTAATGAATTGTTAAATGTTGTATTGTATATATAATTTTGTTAAATGTAATATAGTTATTGTTAATAAAACATCTCATCTATATATCTTTTATGATTTAAGCGGTACATGTAAAAACAACATTGTAGAAGAGCCGCACACCCTTTCAGATAGAGCACACGTCGTCACTGATATATGTATATGCTGATTATACCATTTGATCAAATAAGAACGAGAAGTTAAAAAAACACGCAAAATTTTAATTTTTAATAATTTTCTTTATTATTGCCTTCAAAGTACTCACCTACTGCGGCAATAAATGCATGCCAACGCTTGATCCAATTTTCCATACAAGTTTTATAGGCCGTCGAAGGTATGGCCTTTAGTTCACGCAGCGAATTCTCTTTTATGGCCTTTATGGTCTCAAAACGCGTTCCTCGCAATGGCAATTTGAGTTGGGGGAAGAGGAAAAAGTCACACGGGGCTATAGCTGGAGAGTACGGTGCTTCGTGTTTGGTTGATGATATTGGTGGAGTTTTTGGCCAAAAACTGCGACACAACCAACGCTGTGTGAGCCGGTGCCTTATCGTGGTGTAAAATCCATGAGTTTTCCTTCCATAAATCTGGCCTCTTTTTGCGAATGGCCGTTTGACCGTCAGGAAGGAATTCATAGTGCACCACACCACGAATATCGAAGAAAACAGTCAGCATAACCTTGATTTTGGACCGACTTTGGCGTTCTCTTTTCGGTTTCGGCTCACTTTCGAAGCACCATTCGGTCGATTGTTGTTTGGAGGGCATGTCAAATTTAGAGACCCATGTCTCATCACGAACTCATCAGTTATGATGCGTTTGATGAATGTGGGATGTGGGGTCATTATCTGCGTTGGAAATCATCTCTTTGATCACATCACAACGACGCTAAAAATCACTACACGAACATTTTTCGACTTCTTTGTATAGACGCCAAACAAAAACAAATCGTACGATATGCGTTAAACTTTTACAGAATGTGTATAAAAGTGTTGCCAGCGTGAAAATAAAAAAGTTTACCGATTGGATAAGCCCGAGAATTCAAGAAAAGAACGAATAAGTTCTATTATTATAATTAAGTTATTTATTGACTTATTTATTTATATTTTATTTATTATATTTATATTATATTAACCGCTCAAAGTATACAAAAATACTTGATAAATTTATCAAGTAGTGATATATAATCAATATTTTTATAGCTTCTTTTTTTCGTTATATATTTATTATTATTTTATTTTTTGTACCACTTAAGTGTATATGCACTTGTTATTATATATACATAATAATAATGTACATAACATATTGTAACAATAATATATATATTATCATAATATATTATTCTTACTATATTTTATTATTAATAATTATTATTTATAATTGCTTACACTCGTAATTGATGAAGCGGATATCTACTGCTATTACAGTGATTTTATGCCTAATTGATTCATAATTGATCGTATTCTTCGAAGTTAAATAATTTTCATTTAAAGCAGAACATTTGGCGTAAATATTATTGTACCGAGGGGAACTACACTAGAAAGTATTTTTGGAGCTCACTATGGGATTTATCCCATAATTACATCCTGAAAATACCACCAAGAAGAACAGCTGACATGCAAATGTACATAAATTCTTAATTCAGTAAATTAGAAAAGATACCAGTTTCTCTAGCATTTTTTTCATATATTACGTTAATTGAAGAAAACACCCTGTATATAAATTGTTTCCTATTTCCTTAATTCGATTGATTGATTTATGTTTAAATGTATTTTGTTCAACTTTATATCCAACTATACTAGGCATAGTTTCTACGTTTACATCATGGTAGTGCTGCAAGTGCCGTAAGTGGTGCGATGGTTTCGGTTTGAAAAATCAAGTTTTTGGGGTTCTGACATATTAACGCATTCCGTTTTTTTTGGCAGTGCAGTTAAGTCTTTCAATTGTAATTCTCAATCGAGATTGTTCGAAAACAAAACTGTGTTAATCATTGTTTTCATTTATATTTTGTGTAATCAAGCGGAAAACGAGAAATACTTTTTATTAGAATAAATAACTTGTTATTCGTGTACTCGCTGAATCTGAATCTAAACGGATTTAAAAAAGTGGCGTGACATTTATCAATTTTAATTCATTCACCCGCTAAACGCTCCACGCATAAATTGCTGATAAGAATTGAGAACTCAGAACATCATAAGGGGAAAATGTGCTCCGTATAAGGAACATTGTTGTGATCAGAGTCCACTTAATAGGTCTATGTTCTTTCATATTAATTAAAAAAATATGTATTAAAATTATTTTAATATTTAAAAATGTTGATAACAACTTTTTACAAACGATGATATTTTCTCACTCTTGGTAATATACATACGTCATACATTTCTTCCTAATGTTGGGTTTGTTTTATTTAAATTTTCTTCATATTTAATAAATGCATTTCCACCATTAACATTTATGAAATCTGATATGGTAATTTCACATTATTATGAATATAACAACAATATACAATATAAATATATTAAGCAAATACTCAACATTGTCATAACGTTATAGACCTCGTCTCATTTAACTTCATTAATCTTTTATTGGCATTAGTTGTGATTATCAATTGATCAATGTACATTTGCAAATCGAATAAATATTAAACTCTCTTTAAATAGATTGTCAAAAAAGTCGTAAATTGTACAAATGAAATAAATACAACGTTAAAAACCATAGCTTGTCATATAAGTCAAATTTCTTATACTCACATTTTGATATGCAAACGAACAACAATTTGGGGTAGGATGCGCAGATAAGTCAGAACAATATGATAGTAGTATATATATGACCCTATTATGTCGATATGCTAAATCGTTCAATTATTGCTTCAATATACGAGTATTTACTATCTTACAATATTGATTGAGATGTATCTATGCCATTTATAGTAATAAATGCTTATTTAATTTGAAAACCAACTAAATTAAAACCAATATATGACAAATAAAACACATAAGCAATATATGCATATATATATATATGGAAATATTTTTTTTATAAAATTAATCTATTGATCCCTACAACATTAAATGTTTGGAATGGACCCCTACGTCTAAGATTTGTTGTTGAAAATGTTGTTTTATACAATTTCTCTCAAGAGGCACAATTTTCTCTTCTCCGAGTTGAACATATTTTATATCCAGGGTTACCATAATATTTCAATTATATATATAATTATTCAAAATCATCTTACATGTGCATTTTGGAAACTATTAATACATTTGTAATTAAGACCATATATAAAGTGAAGTAATTTATTATAATATTATGTGCATATTAAGTTTTCTTCTATTATAATAAACGAAAAGTTTTCAAATAAAAAGTTTTTTTTTAAACATCTATATGTAAATCGGTTAACTTTTTCTTACAGTGCCTTTGTCATATCTTCAGTCCAAATCTACCACTCTGTAGTAGCTTTTTAATGAGCTTTAAATATTTAGATTACTTTATTTTTAATAATTAATTATTTTGAGAACATTTCGATATCCTGGGCAACGTGATTTAATATAATATCTTATGTAATAAAAAAAATTGCTTAAAATATTTTAAATTAGCAAAATTTGTTGTCAAATCAACACATTTGGAAAACCGAAATCGTGCAATTTATGTTATTTATAAGTTTATTAGAGAAACACTTTTTAAGTAAGTGAAAATATAATTTTGACAGCAACTCGTTCTGTTAAATATACTCATAAAATCTTCTGTATACAAGGTAAAGCTAGCTTACGAAAAAATATTAGTAATAAATATCAAAATTTCAAATAAAAAGTTTTTTTTTAAACATCTATATGTAAATCGGTTAACTGCTTCCTACAAATCTACCACTCTATAGTAGCTTTTTAATGGCCTTTAAATATTTAGATTACTTTTGACGTAACAAAACATACGTGAGGCAGCTACAGAAACAATATTAGCACTTGTCATATAAATAAATTTTTATCGAAGAAAGCCGATCGAACTAAATCAATATCAAGCTATGGAAGGCACTTTCTGCAGTCATCAACAATTGTTAACTGCAAGTGATTGAACTATGTTATGGTTCTATAATTTGCGCCACCAGTGTTTTGTGGGTTGGTAACCCTGTGCGGTCGCATCATATGTTGTTTGGTTTATATAAGCATGTAATACATGAAACTACAAAAGTCTCATATAATCTTTCGGGGAAGACAAATAGTTTCGTATAAAATTTTAACAAAAAAGTAATAACATATGTATTTGATAACTCCGTTTCGTTTAAACTGATATATATTTTTAAAGTTTGTAAACGGTTTTAAAGTAAAAATTGAATTAAAAAATTGTATAGATTTTATTACAGTGTTTATATGAAATAAGTATTAGTCTTTCTTTATTCTATTAGTGAAAACAAATAGCCTTCATTATAATATAATTGAAACTTAATATATTTACTGAAAGGACGGAAACAGTAATACGCGTCAGAGTGTTGGCAAAATAAGTGTGTTTAGAAAATAAAACACAACACAGTGTATTGGTTTATCTAACAAAGATATACGGAAGTAGAGTATAGTTCCACAATCGTGTGCTAAAATATAAATATATATACATATATAGTATGAGTAATAAATCGAGTGTAAGGGAATGTATCAATGGGGTGACCGGCTTGGAAATAGTCAATGGTACCACCCATACTTTACGGCCGTTAAATGAAATTCGGGTGTGGTGTGATGGTTGGTGAGTTAAACTTTAAAAGAAAATTCTACGAAATCTCGTATGGATTATTGATTTATACATAATTTAAAATTTAATATGTGTCTGTTTTGCAAATTACATAGAACAAATTACATAGAAAGAACATCTATAAATTTTATATGTGCATTTTTGTAACTCCATTTACCCTGTTGTCAATCTGTTTTTATGCTATGCAACTACAAAACACTTGGAGACGATGGTGTTAAATTTATAACTAATTAGCAACCTCGGCCCCCTTTGTTTCAATGCTCTTCGAAAATGACTTTTCATGCTCATATGATAGGTAAAAGATTACAACAAAGACGTACGTCATGGTTCGTTTGATTGTGCAAATAATATTGTATTTACTGTACTCTTCTAAAACAAATAGAATCATTTTAATTTACAAATTGACACATTTGAACACATTTGAAGTTGAAATTTTTTTACGACATCCGCACAACCATTTCCTTTTCGAAACTAATGCAGCACTACGATTTTAGAAGTCTTTATGTTTTATAAATGATCGCTTCTTTCTATACATACATACCTACATAACATATATAATGAAATTAAAAAAAGGTAGAGTTTTAAAACACAAATGATGTGGTGATTTTTATCAGTAGGCGCAATTAATAGGAAGCGTTTCTCCAGCAATAGAACAATATAGTACATCTTTCAGATTGCAGTATAACACTGCTCAATACAAAAAAATCCAATATAATTATTAATATTGTAACTTATAATTATTAATATGAAGCTTAAGAAAATTGTTGATGTATTTTAGGAGCGCCTGATGATTATTCTATCTGTAGTCGTATTATTCAATCTACTAACTTACATATAACTCATTTATTTAAATACGCTCCTTACAAAAACAGATTATTAGCAAGCACTGAAGCGTCATACATGTTGAAAAAAAGTTCCTTGGACTCCACTTAGGCGGCAGGTATTCAGATTAATCGCCTACTATTGCACATTATCGTTTTACATGAATGCAATTAAAGACGTTGACATCCGCAGATACTTAAAAATGCAAATGCAACATCTGTTCATTTTATCTGCTCTTGTTCTGTGATTGTTAGACAATAGATCTAGTACTTTCATCTGGTTTTTATCGTATATGGTATACAGTTAAGAAGCAATAGGTGTTGTTATGTTTATCAATAATTTTACAGGTTGGTTTAGGATACTTTTTTTAGTTATACCAAAATAGATCATATTAGCTGATCCCAATTGACTAAATGTGATAGTGGGATAGACATATAAGTTTATAAATTTTTAGATCAGACGTTCAAGTATAGACATTCGTTAAGATTCGCCCGATATACTAAGACACGCCATAGTGAATCAATAAGCTTATACATATCGAACAGAAGCACACAATAAAACTGCCTTTTGGATGGTTGATCGTAGAAATATTTTTGTGCGTATCTAACTGTTCTTGATATTTAATATAATAGCTATATTGAATAAATGTCTGATTGGCATTCAGACTAAAATTTGGGTATTTAATAAAAGCGACCGCGCTAATACTTCAAGGCTTACTGTAATTTCCTGTGGTCACTGGTGTATAGGAACACACGCAGAGAAACTACGCATTGCTTTTAATTACTGCTTGTAGAAGTTATGAAAATTATAAGGGCTTTCTTTTGTAGCTATCTTGCTTTAGCTTCCATTAGAAACAGGTTTTTAGAGAGTACTTTATTGCCGGTTTGTCAAAAAGTTTGATTGACATTGATAAGGATGAAAGATCTGTTAAAATACCCTAATTCAAAAGGATAAATTTAGTTTTTCTTTTTATATCTTAGGGATTATTGTGAAGAATGTGGTAATAAAACGGCGAAATATCGCTAGTTGTGGACAACGAACGGATACCTGCTGACTTGCCACTGCAACTAACCATACAACTAAGATAAACATATTGTTAACTCGGAGTAATAAAAAAAATTGTGTTTTTGTACGAATGATTATTGTACATGTGCCAGGACAGGCTTGTGCAAAAAATTTTTTCGGGAAGGGTTTTTTTTAGTTTAAAAAAAAAATGTTTATCTTATTAAACAGTCATAGTGTATTAATAATGAATATAGATATGTATAAATATAATACTTAGTGTTATTTTGCAGAGCGCCTTCGATCAAAATGATTATTCATTTATCCAATAAGAAACATATGTACATGTATGCATGTCAGGTTTGTGTTAGGCCCAAAACAAAACCATTGATTCTTGCTTGCGACTGTAAAAGCACTGATCTACAAAACGTAAACATTTGTACCCTAATAAAATAATAATTACAGGAATATTTGGTACATATAGTAGCCGGCAGTAGCAAGTGAACAAAGTCAAGCACAGTCTCCCTATGCAAAAGAGAAGAGCAAAAATAAGACACCAGAAGAAACTAATAAACAAGAGCCTGGCGGAAAAGCAGAAAATAAAAAACGACAAGCTTGATCGTTATACTAGTGTTACTGTATAACGATCAAGTGTCAAATATTTATCTACTGTAATTAAACAATAAAACATGCATTTCGTTTTATCGAATGTGAAACAACGGTTAAATCTGAACCATTAATATCCATTTATAAAAATAAGGTATCAGTAATATGGAAACTAATACTCCACATACGTATAGAGTACAACAGTATGTCTTTAGAAAAAGGATACAATCTCATCATTTTGTATGGCAGTTATACTCAAATCTTAATTCAGTCCATTGGTCTATTAGTTTTACTAACAGCACCACCAACCTCTCGTTTGATTGTTTTCGTATACACCAGTAACTACAGAGTTTGGTCTTCTTCATCTTTTTCTAGTTTTAGCAACAATTGTAAGAGATGCCTAACGCCATATCTCTTGTTGTCACTAAGAATGCGTGATCGCATGCTTGTTTAAGCAAATGAATCAAATACCTATTTTGGACGTCCTTAAGACTATAAATACCACTTCCGATTATTAAGTTCATGTTTTTGCTTAGTATAAGTACAATACAAGAAAAACTTTCATTCAGGACTGTTAATCAAAGTCACATATGACAAACATGTTTAAATTTTATTTTAAGTTATTATATGTTAAAATTATTATATAATTTGTTTTGTCCTCAAAAGTGAGAGAGATAATAGATTTAGGCATTATCATTTAAAAAATTATTTAGTTTGCAAAATGAGTGAAGTGGGATTGTGCACCAAAACAATTTTATTATTGAAACAATGTTTTGGAATAAATGCAGAAATCGAAAATCAGAAGGAAATTGGCTTTTTTGAAGAAATCGAAAAACGAAAGGAAATTGTAGCGTGGTGTGATGGTTGGTAAGTTAAAACTCTTATTAAGAATAAGTGATCAGGATGATAAATCTGTTTCATCTTAAATAAGAATCTATGGTTTTACATATATTTTTTGCATAATCTAAAAGCTCCGTAAGTAATCAGACGAAATAATCGTATGTGAATGGTATAAGATCTAATATTTTTTATTTAAGTTCAGTAAATCTCCGCTAGTAAACCCCGTGAGATGTTTATATACCTGAACGTTGTTTTTAAGAACGAATTAACTTATACGATCTATACTAGCAATTTATGGACAAGTTCCAGTTGTATGTTAGTAGAGGATTTTGTAAGACAAATGAAAAGATGACTATTGAGAATACTATATTATTTGGTCTTATACAGAAACAAACATTAGCTTAGTTCTTTAAATTGGCATTTTAAGTATTTGCACTTTTAATAACTGAATGTGTTGCTCTAGTTAGAAGTGCAGCCATCTTTAAGTGCAATCAAGATGTTGAACTAAAAAAATTTTCGAAATACATGAAAATCTAGAATATACCTTAAGGTCGTAGTGTGTCTTAGCCCCCCTATAATAATAATAAATGGTTTCAAAACTCGATTCTTCTTCTATGTGCCTTGTCCGCTTCGAACGTTGGCTAACAAGATTGCGACTTTAACTTTATTTACAGCTTCTCGAAAAAGTGATCCTGTACTTTTATTGAACCATTGACGTAAATTCTTCAGCTATGATATCTTTTGACTCCCAGGGCCACGTCTGCCTTTGATTCTGCCTTCAATGATTAATTTCAGTAGTCTGTACTTCTCCGGATGCCTCAGAATATGATCGAAAAACTCCAACTTTCGTCGTTTTACTGTCGCTAGTATTTCTGTCTCTTTGTTGACACACCGAAGTTCTACTGCATTTGTAATTCCTTCTGTTCAGTTTATTTCCAACAAGCGTCGATTGCACCACATTTTAAAGGTCTCCAGTTTATTCATCGATGCAAAAGACTACGTTTAGGCTTCTGTCCCGTAGAGGAGTATAGAAAATATGTAACATCGCAGCATTCTTATTTTGAGTCGTAACGACAGGTCCCGGAAACATAGCAAGCTTTTCACCTTGATAAAAGAAGACCTCGCTTTTTGAATTCAGATGCGTATTTCTTTACTGTTTTCCCATTTCTCATCAAGCTGGCATTCCAAGTAGTTGTACTTAGCGGTTCTTTTTATGGTTAAATACGTCTTTACTGCAATTCAATTTCAAGCTGTATTCTCTGTATTTCAGTGCAACAGCGTCTAAAGGATTCTGTAAGTCCTCTAGTGAATTGGCAATAAGCACTTTATCATCGGCGTACTTTAAATTGTTTATGAGTACTCCGTTAACCATAATTTCGTCTGTCGCGTCATGTAGTGCTTCTTTGAAAATGGTCTCGGAGTATACCATATATTGAAGAGCAATGGAGACTGTCGATTCTTCTAACATTTCAAATAAAGGTTATCGATAAGTCCTGCAATATCTTTCCAGATGTCTTTCGTTGCGATGTACATACTGTGGTGTGTAGTTTGTGTGGCTATACTTTCTTATTCCTACCAAATTTCAATTTTGTCGGTTTAGATATAAATGTACCCACTGTAAAGGCAACTTATATCGATAATCTAAGATCTTTTCTAGTAACCTAATGTGATGTGTATTTTAGCTGTAATATTGCTATATCCAACTTCACCTTTAATATAGAAATTTCTTGATATTCGTTTTTAAATCATAATTCTTAATGTCTGATGATAATGTGTGATATTAACGCCATTCCATGCTCAGTGCTATCACTGACATTCTACATACACAGTTGGTTATCAAAGAATGCAAGTATGAAATACTTTCTACCGCGCTCGAACTGCGGATTGGGCACGTATGAAATGGATGACCTTGACTTTGGTCTTCTGGAAGTATATGTGAGCACATGAATGTCACTTGAAAGTGCATTATCATAAACAAGCGCACTTCCGTTTAGTAAGCGATTTTGAAATTTCAATTTGATAGAAAGAATTTTAAGTCTGTGTGACTTAAATGAATTCAATTGCGGTAATTTAATAAGAATTTTCACTTATTCAAAATTCTAAAAGAGAGTACAATATTTCAACATGAAAAGGTAACTTCAGATATTTAACCTGATGATTACGTCTCTTAGATACATATAGGAGAAGTACATTTGCTATTGACACTGACATTCAAAACTGAAAACTGCAAAAGACTGAGATACGTGTTTTTTGCTTTTTGCTTTTTGCTTTCTGAAATACTGAAATAAATTAAACTTGCACATGTTGTTGACATCAACAGCAAAAACGCTTATCATGTAAGTATCTATAATTAGGAATAACATTACGAATTGTTCAGTTGTGACGTGCATAATTAGAGGTGGTACCACTAGACCAGCGATGGGGAATCTATTTATAAGCGCGTGCCAAATATTAGAATTTTTTGTTGTTTAGTAACAACAACCCTGCGGATTGCACAGATTTTAGCATCAATATAAATTGTTTAAAAAAACATATAAACGAACCCTTATATTTTTACCCACACCTGGCATACGGCCGTTAGGGATAGCGCACGTGCTGCAGAAATAACCATGAGCGTGCCATAAGTTCGCCATTGTTGTAGTAGACCCTACCAATTTGTGACAAGTATTGGCATACGTGTCTGATATTTTATGTTAATTAGAAACATTACTATTAATTAGTTATACAATAATTAAAGATTTTGTAAAAGATCTCAGTATAGAATACTTAAAAACACTGCATTCATCAAAGAGTGAACGCTACTTAAAGTGTTTTGATTGACGACAGAACCAAATATCGTTCTTTTGAACCCTTCAACTTTTTTCGTAATAATTTAATTAAAAACGTTGTTCAAACATTTAATACGTTTTAAGTGAGGTTTTCTAAAATATATATACATAGGTCGTGTGCGAGTTCGAGTAAATTGTGGTAAAGTAATTTTAAATTTCCTAGGGTTTTTTGCACTGCACATTTATTTATTTATTGCACTTATTTTTTATTTTTGGTTAAAAGTTTTCAAATTTATTTATTTATTTATTAAACATCTTATAAAATGTTCACAATGGTAATACCTAATTTACCTACATTTTATCTAATTTACCCTAATTTACAGACATAATTTACTATTTCCCTCAATTTACTATCAATTTGCTCGAACTCGCACACGACCATAATTTACTACTATTTACCACCATTTTAATGGAACTCTTATAATTCGTCTTATAATTCGTCCTCTTATAATTTCGTCAACTGAATCTAAAGTGATGCCCACATCTATTAAAATTGTTGTTATGAAAAGTTGTGTGTCATTTCTAGTCGCCTCGTTAGCCTTATAGTTTCCAGAAATATCCATATAACAAGGTACCCATTACAGTTTATAAAAAATCTAAAAAATAATATAAGGAATTTCTTACCATTGATTGAAGTTTATTACTTTATTTAGGTTAGGTTAGGTTCAGAAGGCGCGTGCTGACAATTATTAGCACTTCCACTCGGAAGCATATGTTGCCCATTGTGATGCCCTCAAAAATTTTTTTGCCAGGATAGGCGAGTTGCTAACCTTTGTTATCGTTGTTAAATCATTTGGTTTTCCAGATGAAGCTGATGAGATCCGATAAGTTTGCTTTCGTTATCTCTTTCAAGCCAGTGAAAAAGCGATCCCCAAGACATTGAAGTCGCCTTGTCTGAAGTGCTTGATAGATTCTACGTCCTCTTCATCTTGCCAACTTCCGCATAATCCACTCGATGGAGCTCGCCACCGTTTGAAATAGGCGCAATGGCACAGTGCACGTTATTTATTACTTTATTTAATCTTCCATATGTTTTTAAAGTTCTTGATTTGCTATATTTTTTATTTAAATCTTAAGATATCAATAATGTCGATATTTCCATATTTAAATGATCAGACAATGTAATATATGACTAAATTTCTATATTGTTTTTATTGACAATATTTTTGTTTGCTACTAGAAATAGCGTGATATTATTTTTCATTAATGAATTATGTATTCATAGATTTAATAGTTGACGGGTTAATGTTATTGACCCTTTAATTGATAACAACTCTTGAGTAAATCATACGTAACTGGAACAATTCATTAATGTAATCTTCGAAAGCACAGATTTTTTTGTAGTATATTATAAATCATTAATTTTTCATTTGTATATAACATACCTATATATATAATAAATAATAAATTCAAATCTGGTATTTATTTGTTGATTTAATAGCTAGGATCTCTTTCTATTAAACAATATCCATGACAATTCTGGGACATAATTAAAAGGTTTAAAGGAATCGCTGCGTAATATAGGAGACATATCTTATAGATATTAGATATTTCGATATATAAGCCCATACATATACAGAAAATATGAATTCTGTAAAGAATATCAGTATACTAGTAGTAGTACGAGTAGTGTAAGCTGAGCATAACTTAAAAAATATTTATTTTTGGATAGAAAATATAAGAACCACTTTTTAGTTGTGTATTAAAAATGAAGTTATCTAAAAAATAAAAAAAATAAATAACGTTCTTAATATTAAAAATTTATTACCTAACTTAAACGAAAAATCTTACTCATATCCAAATAGTGAAAAAACACGCCTTCCAAAGTCTTATCAATTATAACAAAATCCTGTCTGTTTTGCTTGCCACAATGGAAAGTAAAATGATATTCAGTTTAAAAGTGAAAAGCACGGTAGAATGTGAAATATATATACCATTATCGGGTAATTGAGTGGTAGCTACACCAAGGCTAAAGAATCTAGACAATTTAGTGTTATGGAGCAACAAGTAAATTAAGTACAATGGGACAATTGAATAGATAGACGGCGTCATGTAATATAGAGCTGTAATTAAGGTTCCTCAAACAATAGTTACATTAAGCCATGTTGCAGTATTATGAAGATGAAAAATGTAACATGAGGTAGGATGTGGATGAAATAAATATAAAGAAGATTGACTTTAATCTGTACCAATGATAAGGAATTTTGTCTACTCGGTGGGATAGTGCAATAGATTGATTGACTTCAGACTTTAATTGCCGTCTATTGATGTGACTACATCCGAACTCATTCGATCCAGATCACTTACTGGAGACTGCATGGAGAAGTAGTCTTGTTTTTTTTTGTAGATGCTCAGTGGATCCCTATTAAAACCTGAATTGCTATGATCTCGTTTTTGGAAGAAAATATTGCATCAATTCAACTGACTGGTGGCTTTTTACGTGTTTGTCCATGTAGATGTTTGCTCCTCTGTTATAATCAATGTATTCTAAAAACAAGCGGATACAATTAAAATAGAAGCTTCTATTAATTGTGAGAAATAGATTAGATTCCATTTAGTCGATTTTTAAGTAAGAATCACAACGCAGTTACAACGCAGTTTTATAAATAAAAAAAAAACTGAAAAAACTAGAAATGGAAAAGAGACGGGGACAGGGGAAAATTGAACCAAATCTGTGCCCTGATGATGGAATCTTACCATATCAAGTCACTCGATGTGACAAATCCATAAATCAATAAGATTAAAATTTGAGTACATGGATTTTGGCAGAGCCTAATTCCCACTTTAATTCGTGTTAGATAACCATAGTGTTGTTCACATCTTTCGACCACATTCTAAATACATTTTCTTTATTCACTATTACAAATTATGCCTTAATAGGTAGCATGGACAAACTGCTATATTTGTCCATAAGTTGTTAGATTCCCTTGTTTTGAATTTGCAATACACAATGATACAAACACAATATTTTAATTTGTTTTTATTTTCATTTTCATTTTAGCTATGACATGGTTCACTTTGGTCATGCCAATTCCCTTCGACAAGCCAAAGCACTTGGTGATAAGGTTATTGTAGGTATTCACACAGACGAAGAAATAACAAAACACAAAGGACCACCCGTTTTTACAGAAGAAGAGCGTGTCAAAATGGTAAAAGGCATTAAATGGGTTGATGAAGTGGTACTTGGCGCACCATATGTTACGACCTTAGAAGTTTTAGACGAACATAATTGTGATTTTTGTGTCCATGGTGGTAAGTGTTGATTGAAATATGTATTTCCAAAAAACTAATTTTCAATAAAACTTAAAATTTAATAAGATGACATAACGATGACAGCGGAAGGTGTGGACACATACCATCTTGTCAAATCTGCAAATCGTTACAAGTAAGTAAATTAAATCCATTCGATTAGTTGTGTTTTATGAACAATTTTTGTGTAGAGAAGTGCGACGTACAGCCGGAGTTTCTACAACTGATTTAGTGGGTCGTATGCTGCTTTTAACTCGTAACCACTTCCGTCAGGGATCCTCAGAATATGACATTGAAAAAGAAGGTTAGTACGACTTAATATGTTTTAGTTTTAGTTTAATTAATTTTATTAAATTACTTATTTTCTTTTGTGAAAACTGAACTATTTTTTTATTTTTTTATTAACGAAATTGAAATACCCAACTCTAAATGTCAAAAAGAACCGAAAATTTGTGTTTGTAAATGTAAATAATAATTATTTCATTTAAATTATTCCTTCAAAACTTTATTTTAAATTGTTTAATAATCGGCTGCTTTAATATATTGCTAGGTTCTTCAAATATGGGTCAAGATTCTGCAGCCAAAAGTCCATGGACGGGCGTTAGTCAGTTTTTACCTACAACTCAGAAAATCATACAGTTCAGTGATGGGAAAGCACCAAAACCTGGTGATAAAATCGTAAGTATATTTATCTAACAAAGTGAGATTCGGAAGGCGAGTCGAAAAAAGTTCGGATCCACTTAAGTCGAAAGACGATCTTTAATCAAAGGTCAAAGAGACCTTTGAAAACTGCTTATGAATTGATCAATGACAAATTAGAATAGAAAGAACACACTTTTTGCTATGAAGTTATTTGTTCTTTTTCTCTATCTTTAATAGAGAATAGTTATTTGTTCTTTTATACGAGTATAAAACCCGTTTTATTTTTAAAGTATTGCACGGATGTGAAAATTGTGTAAAATTCAATTAGAATTAAATCGTAAAAAAATTATTAAATTTAACATTTGGTTTTTGTCAGAATTTTTGTGATAAATTTTATCTATACTTTACCCAATTATTCTACTCGCAACAGAAACCAATTATTTGTTTCGTGTTATTTTTAATTATTTTAACTTTTAAATTTTAATTATATTTGGAATGTGCTTATTTAAACTTTCATTAAAAAAATATGTATAATTTTAAAAATTTTATACGTTAGAGGTATAAAATGTCGTATCTTTTTTTTCAACTCTTTGCGAGATCATATTCAAAATTTTCAAAAGCGCACTGTGTTTATAGGTTAGGCCTGGGTAAAGCGTTTGATACCGTCTCCCATAAAATTTTTTTTCAATGAGCTGTGACGCTATCTGTGAATTCAGAAATTCAAAATTCCAATGACTATGGTATAAACCAAAAATCCATTGCATTCTCTATAAAGTATATACTAAGCTTCATTGGGCAGTAATGGTATTCTATTAAATTTTAAAACAATTTTATTTTTGCTTTACAAATCATCTAACGCTAATTAATAAATAATTCTTATACTTCAATTACAATTAAAAGTTGGTAACACCAATTTGAGACCAATAACTTTATAACTCTGTCTCATTGAGCATGGCAAACTTTCCAACACCTTTACTCAAACTAATTTTTAATTTATTCTCGTAATTTACCCGCCATTTTTCTCTTGCGATGGGACATGGGCTTAATAGCTTTTGGCACTATTACTTTGTAAATATTGTAATTCATAGGCCAAGTAAGAGTTAAATTGTCTTGATTGTCTATATAGGCAAGTAGCACGGTGACATAGATACTGTCGCTCTTGAAATCTCTTGTCGTTATTCCGTTTCGTCTGTGTTTGTATTTTCCACATGAACATAGTCATGATGTGCATGAACGATTTTGGGATCGTTTACAGTTTTAGAAAGAAAAAAATGTGCTCTCTGTAATATTATCTGTTATTGCTGCACAATATTAGGATTGGGGATAAGGGTTTTTCAATGAATTCTGTTTTAATTATGAAATATGAAAGATACATCTTTCTTGATAGTAGTCTACTTGTAGCTGCGCCTATGATTTATGAGACGAATAGTTAGAATTATTTTGAAATGCTAATTGAAGAGGACTCAATATATGTTATCAATTCTATTTACACAAGCAGACCAGTATCAAAATTTGAAAATGGATAAGAGAGAGTATTATTTATTATTTCATTACTTATTTATAGACAAATATAAAATAATAAAATATCAGTATTATAAGTATGCATATAATAACAATATATGCAATGACGGCCACGGCCCTACATTAAAGAGAGTGATTTTTACTATATACAAGTGTACTGTTTTTGATGGTTAGGAGATCGTTATTTGGTAGGGAAATATAGTTTATACTGATTTTTGGTTTAAATCCTTAACTTTTATATTCACTATTCACTTTCTCCTTTTATATATAGGTTTATGTTGCTGGTGCTTTTGATTTGTTCCATGTTGGCCATTTGGACTTTCTAGAAAAAGCTAAAGAACAGGGAGATTTTTTGATTGTTGGGTTGCATACAGATCCCGTTGTAAACTCCTATAAGGGCAGCAATTATCCAATTATGAACCTACATGAACGTGTTCTAAGTGTACTGGCTTGCAAGGTAAGTTAAGAAACTTAAATATTTGTAGTCGCAATTGGAAATATTATGTAAATTATTTGTTTAACTTTAGCACGTCAACGAAGTTGTCATCGGTGCTCCTTATTGCGTTACTGAAGACCTGTTGGATCACTTTAGGGTGGATGTGGTTTGCCATGGTCAGACACCCATAGCTTTCGAAAACGGCAACATCGATCCATATGGCATACCAAAGATTAGAGGAATTTTCACAGTCATAGATTCTGGAAACTCAATGACAACAGAACGCATTGTTGAGCGTATAATTTCACATCGGTTGGAATACGAACGGCGAAACTGTGCTAAGGAGAAAAAGGAAATCGAGGCTTTCGAGGCGTTGCAGCGAGCCAAGCAAACGCAAAAAGCTGGTTGAGTTAGTGTAAAGAAACAAAAACCAAACATCACTCAATTGTACAGAAATGTGCAGAAAACTGTTTATTTCAATAGATTAGCAAATTTATTTTTTATATTTTATTGTTACACATTTTAATTGTATGTTTATTTATATATGTATATTTAGAAAGCATTGGCGAGACCAAATAGAGCTTATTGAGAATAACGCTACAATTCATTTGGTAAATTTTTACAACTTAACAAAATTTTAACTATGCCTAGTTCTGTTTATTTGTATCAAAAATATTTGTATCAAAATTCCCTTTAGAAGTCTTCTGTTATACACTGAAATGATCATGTTTTAATAGATTTTAAAGTATTTTTTAAATGTTTCTTTAAATTCTGTTATGTGCGAACGTGTAAACATCAAACATCCTTCTTAGACAAAATTCATAATTGTAGCTTACTTCTTAAATGTTTTTATATTTAAAATAAATTTAATTGTTTACAATTTGTTATGTTACTGTTTTTATTACAGATTTCTTTATAATTCAATATATTTTTAATATAAAAAAATAAAATGTTATTTTTAGTTAGACTAAAACAAATTTAATATCACCTCCATTCTGAATCATTCTGAATGGGAGTTTTTCCCCTATTTTGCACAAAATTTTTTCCAAGCAAATTGTGTGGAAGATAAGTTAAAAAAGAATTTAATTTAATATGTTAGTAACTTATAATAATCAGATTTTTGAATATATTTTAATAAAATTATTATAATAAAATTATTATAAATTTAATATTTTTAAATTTTTATTTTTTTATTTTATCCACATGGGTTGATCAGTTTTTCGAATATATTTTAATAAAATTATTATAATAAATTTAAATTTTTATTTAATATATTTTATTAAAATTATTATTATAATAATATTATTATAATAAATTTAAATTTTCATTTAATATATTTTATTAAAATTATTATTATAATAATATTAATATAATGAATTTAAATTTTTACTTAATATCTTTTATTAAAATTATAATTATAATAATATTATTATAATAAAAGTATTATAACAATTTTAATGTATTTAAATTTTTATTTCATCCATACGGGTTTTTTCACAAATCAAATCGTTAACTATTGTTATTTAAAAAAATGGAATAATGAATGGAACCCAAATTCTAGAATGAATGAGACTCCTTGAATAAGTTTAATATATTTTTTTTTAATTATGCGCAGGTAAAACATTGCTTCTTTATTATTATAACATCATAGCAATTATAAACTATTATTACAGTTTATTAATTGAAGGACATTTCTATCCTAATTATAAAAATAAATACGACTTTAGGAGAAGAAGAAGAACAAATTTTAGTTAAAACATTAATAATTCCAATTAATAAATAAGATATTTTACTCTCTTTTATTGTATATAAGAAAAAAATAAATTATGTAGATATTTGAAAAATAAAATAAGTTTTTTTTTTTATTTAATTATAAAGTATTCATTATATTATTTCTGATATTTAATGCTGCAGACAAATAATGCGATTTTTAGATTTAAATTCTTTTCTATGTTTTGTTCACTTTCGCACTTTTCGCCATTAAAACACGAGGGCGAGGGAAGAGGGAGACTTGTTTCCTCGGAGTATTCAGAATAGGGGTGATTATCTTTTTGCGAAATCAGACAGAACTGAATCGACTGTTTTTTTTTGTTTTCCATTAAATGGAAAGCATCGAGAGCCATAGCGTGAGACTTAAACCCATTAAAACCATCTAGGAATGAATATGGATGGAAGACTGCTACCACGTGTAGAAGATGCATTCCCTTTGGAGTAATCATGGGCAGAGAGAGAACAGATAGGCTCAATATTGAGCGACCTAAATTTATTTAAGCCAGAAAACATGGGCTATATTAAAGGAGTGTGATGTTTTGGTAAAGGGAGTTGGAACGGGAGTTAGCGAAACTTGTGGAGAGTCTAGCTAGTTACATCTCTGCAGCTAGCTAGGCTAAGTTTGCATTTAAGAGAGCAGTGCATAGATTACATCAAAGCGTATCCTTTCACATCAAGGCGTATTTGAACGCTTTTTGAATGAGGAATCCTTTTCGGACTTCCTCGGAAAGAGGCTGCAGTACTGCTGCGTAAGTTGGTAAAGGCGGCCACGAAAGTGTCAGAGTTGGAGAAGGCAGGTAGGGAAGGTTGTGGGGTTGAGTGCGAGTATAGACTCATAGGCTTGGGGACGTGCATGTTCATTAGTGAACCATTGAGGCTTAGGAAACACCGGGTGAGAGAAAATTGGTTGGGGACCTGTTAGAGGGAGTGAGGGCCAATTTGGCTAGGCGTGCGCGTTAATCACGAGTTTCTTTAAATTTAGTGCGTCTAAAGTTAGCGGGAGCGTCATTTGACCACCATCGCAACACCTCGGAAGTATGTTGAGGAGCTGAAACTGCGTGATTGGGTCAAAGACTGGGACAGGGATTTGGCTCTCGCCCTTGACGTGAGTTTCTCCGCAACAGACGCAACGGCGAGGGAAGTGGCAGAATTTAGCGGTAATATAATGTCGTCGACAATTACTGCACTGGGGACTTATAGCGTGATTAGCGATTGGAGGATGATAGGGTATTGGGCGCTGGCGCTGCTTTGCTTTTAAAATGGTAATTAGAACAGTTGTAAGCTGATTTTTATTTTTTCAAAGAGAACTGATACGGTGCCTGAATGGTACTAAAAGTAATTTAACTGTAGCTTAAGGTGACCAGACGTCTTTCTTAAGCAACGAGCAACAGCATTATATTTTAATATATTTCGCTACATCTACATTCTCAGCGACTTAGTTTTTTAATATTATTGTAGAAATTCATTAGAAATATATATGAGAAAATAATTTGTAGTGATTTCATTTTTAATTTAACAAATATGTTTTGAAACAAATATCAATAAATAATTCTCATGGGTTACACTTAACTAAAACACTTTCAGTCTTAAAAGTATTTAACTTTATATTAACGATACAGTATCTAATTATATATTTTCGATTTAGTATGTAATTATATATTAGTTGTACGGTTCGATATTTGAAGTGTTGTGAATTCCCTTTCACTTTTCAAATTACATAAGACAAATAAAACAATTATTATAACATATTTTGTTACTCTATTATTTATATCTGATTAGCCGCCTAATATCGGTTAATGATGGGCTTGGTTATGTAGTGTAGTGGACAACGTTAAATAATGCTATTGGATAAAACCTGTCTGGAATAGCTTAGCAAAATTGTTCAGTACAAAGTAAATGTGCTCATCACTGCATAGATATTTATTTTAAATATACTTTTTACACTTATATTATGTGGACCACTAATTACCTGACAAGTTTTAAACGACAGCTGTGAAAGTTTCGACTTTATCAGAAGTTTAGTTAGATTTTTGCAAATAATTGAAATAGTGCACCTAATTCCTTGGAGATTTTTAATGAAAGGGAAAAAATTGAATACCGTTCTGTAATAAAATTCCTCCATTTGATAGAAATGAACAATGATGCAATCAAATTGAAAATGGATTCCGTTTACGGCAACCTAGCACCATCTTTCACAACAATAAAATATTCGAAAACTGAATTTAAATATGATCATACGAGTGTTTTTGATGAAGAGCGTCCGCGTCGTCCAAGAGGTCACAACTGAAAACAACATTGAAAAAATCCGCGATATTGTGTTGGATGATCCAAAAATTATATTGCATAAGGTAGCAGAGATGACAAACATATCATAAAAACGTGTATCGAATATTTTACATGAATATTTGGTTATAAAAAAGCTTTCGACAAGATGGGTGCCGCGTTTGCTCGCAATTGACCAAAAACGACAACGACTTCGTCATTCAAAACATTGTTTGGAAATGTTTATGCATAATCTAGCTGACAGTTGATGAAACATTGATCCATTACTTTACACCTACGGGAAAACAACAAGCCAGAGAATAGGTAGTGCCCGGTGGAAAAGTTTAAGCTTCCGTATTTTGGGATTCAAGTGGAATAATTTTTATGGACTATTTGGAAAAAGAAAAAAACAATATCTGACTACTATCGCATATTATTGAATCGATTGAATGAGAAAATAAAAAAAAACGACCATATTTGTTGAAGAAAAAATAATAACATACGTTAATGAAAAACATGGCAAAATAAAATGAATTACGGTTCGAATCACTTCCTTAACAATCGAATTGTCCGTATTTGACTTTCAGTGACTATTACCTGTTTTTAAATTTGAAAAGATGGCTCCAGGGAAAGAGATTTCCATCAAATGATGAAGTGGAGTTGGAAACTGAGGTATATTTTGGAGGAGCTGATAAGGCGTATTATTTAATGAGGACTATTTTGGAGCATGAAATATGATTATCAAAAACAAATGTTTTTTAAAAACGTTTTTATTATTTAGGCCAGGTATCTATCAATCCACCTATGATGCACTTTTAACTACTTCTATTTAAATAATGCTCTACCAACTGGAGCTGTAACAATTAGTCCAATTTAGAGAGTCCACTTTGTAAAATCAAGTTTTACAAAAATCTTTCTGATAAAAATTTTATAAAAAATAGTGGAGTAATTTGGTAATTGTTGGGCTAATATTATTTTTAACCATTGTTACTCATTTACATTTAAACGGTTGTGATCCATTTCGAATCTTAGTTTCCTGTAGAATATTTTCCCATTTTTTCAGTGTTTTCCATGCTTTTGTTGTTGGTGTTGCAATTTATTGCTTTGATGCCGAATATCCTGTGCACTATATTCATCGGATATTCTTATTACATGGCTTTTCAAAATTCCTTAAACCAATAGAACCGTTTCAACAGGCACTGAACATACAACCCAAAAGTCGACCAAGAATGTAATGAATTGAGGGCTTCAAAGCTAATCTGCAAAAGTTTTATTCCGATTTAATGTTTGCATAAAACAGCGTAGTACTAAGAGAGATGAGATCTTTAGCGCAATAAGATGATCACGATCAGGTTGATTAAATAGAGATTATTTAAATCATATCATCCTTTTACCCATGCCATTGTGCAAGGTTTGTCGTCTTTACATGAGCTTTCGTTCAAGATCAGCATGAGCCATAATTATAAATTGATAAGATGATGTACAGTAACTCGAAGCACAGGTAGCAAAACCGTAAGTAGTGAAAGAATCTATTTTTTAAATGATACTAATTGTATCTGAACTTTTCTGGT